TTGGCACAGCATCGGCCAAGGAACGAGCCTTTACTTAACAGCTTTACAGCAGCTCTATTATCGTTTTTTCTGGTAATAAATGGTAACGGCTGGAACGCTACTTTTTTAGAACACGATTTGCCAATTTCTAAAGATCAACCCTAAACAACGGGCCAGCAGGGCTTCACGTTGCGAGCAAACTATAATTCTGCAATAGGCCCATTTTGTTTACCGTCTCGATCAAAAGGTGCCCTACAGCACATACTGCTCTATACATACTTTCGTTATATATGTACATTGTCGAAAGCATTAAATAGGGCAGGAGAAGGTCTGATTAGACTCCGAACGATTAAAGATAGATACTGAAATGTGTTTTCGAATGATTTAGCATCGAATGATGATGAAGCAGTAAAAGGCATGATTGACTGGCAAAAAATTACCTCTCGAGTAACTAATTTCTTAACGGAACAATATTAGAAATGTGGTATTTTGAATTAGTAATGAATAGGTAAACTCGTTAGATGTATCTGTCTGGGATTAATTAGCTGGAGTGGCTCAATGTGAGTGGCGCATCAGTTTCTTCCGAAAGCATGTATTTATCCCAGACTCTTGGAAATTACGAGTACTATGTTATTTACTTACATTATAAGTAGTGTGAACTCGAAAATCTCAAAGCAAACAAAGCTAAATAAATCTAGCAAGCTCAAGTCGCAAATCCTTTTTCTCGGGTATTGATGTCTGAATATCAGACGTCTGCGCAAACTGCTGAGTATCGCCATAATGCACTTCAGCTGTCTGATGCGTCGCGGAGACAGACAAGTCTGCGTACTTAGATGTGTCAGTCTCGTGCGAACAGGCCATTTTATTGTAGCTCTACGTAGATGTTCGCACGGACCTATTGCCGCGAAGACGTTATTTGACAGAAGTGCTCGCTTTGTTTTCCATCATCGCTATCCCAAACACGCTATCAGGACGACGGTTCGGGACGCTATATATATATATATATATATATATATAAGCGGTACTACCTCAACGATCGAGCTCGATGTGAGTAGGAGAACGAATTGCTCCTATAAGCCGATCATAGTGAAGCAATCAACTAGCGGTTTATTTTAACGTCCGGGAAGACACCTGAAGTGGCAATCAACCTTAGTTACAGTAAGAACCTTTCTTTTAATTTTTGCTCATTTCTCGGAATGTAGAAAACAGGCCGCATACTAATCCTACATTGCGGGAAAGCAACGACTCACGATTGCAACGGCGAGCGTAGACTCAACTAGCTGTGTCTTCTCACTGGAATAAGGACTAATTTTTCCTGACGGTTACAAGTGATTTAAAATGTTCGTTTTCGGTTCGCTAGGCCGTCCACGTGAATCTAGGCGCTTGAGAGTCAGAAAATCTTCAGAGCAGAAGATAAACGTCAACAAAGATGGTGACTTTCGATGATGTGAAAGAGTTGCGATACATTTCATCCTGAAGCGATGGGCCCCTGCCAGAGTAGTCGAACAATAAGTTTTATAGCCGAATGCCAAGCCCAGGGATAACTGCGCAAACACGACCCTTGTTCAAGTAGTATTTGGGCTATGGGGCAGTCGGAAACGAATATGTTTCACTAAAGGGAAGGAATTGTTATTTGGTCGTGTTTCAGCGCTAAAATGTCGATGCTTCATGCAAACATAGGAAGCGAGCCAATTTTCGTCAAAAATAATAAGGTCGGCCTATACTAAATTTGTTTGATATTAATTAGGCTTGGACAGACAATAAGGCATATGCTACGTCCGGTATTAAGCCGACTTGCCATTGAAAATACTGGTTCACAGCAACAGTGTTCAGGCTACGGCTCACCTCTTTCAACGATACTCATTTCTGTTTGGTTAATTCACTTACTATCTGCGCATTTTCATTCGGGTTCCATACGAATCTACATTATCAACGGCCGTTAACTCTGGTCTCCACGCTTGTTAGTTTCTACCTGACAACACGTCATGCACAGGACGCGTTATACGTTGTTTCGGGTCGTGTTGCTGCCCTTTTTTAGCTTCTATATTGCAGTCCGTTGTTGTTTTTATGCCAAAACGTAGATACAGTGTGATTATAATAGCATGTGCCCACGCGTGTATCGACGGGAGATCTCTATAGCGTGAAGCGTACGACACACAGTTTCTGAATCGCCGCTATGGCGGTTTTGCCGATTTTACTGCGGTAGAATACATTGAACTTCGTCATAGTTCTGATTTTCTTCCACAGGCCAATTGTATATATTTATCTAGACGGGTACACTATATATCTAAAATTCTCTCTTTTTTGTTCAGTTTTCGTCTTGGCTAGCGGTCTTCTACATAACTGCTACGAACACCCCAGCCAGCTGGACCACTTTCGGGTTCATTAACCGCCGGGGGCGGAGCTGTAGTCAGCTGAGCAGACGCCGGTAGTGCACATCGTCATCGTCGCCGTTCGTCGAACGGACGACATGAGCAGACGCGTGTACACACATAGCTGTGCACCCCGATGGCAGAAACAGGAACAACTTCTGCTACTACAGCATAACTGAAGTCAGGAAAAGCAGCGTCGAAAAGGAGGCCGAAGGATCCGTTGCGCGCACTCGCGCAACACCGTTGAGGTAGCGTACCAACAGCGATTGTGGTTAAATCATCATAACGTAGTCGTCCTATGAAGACAGTAAAATGTGACATTTCATGCCACTCAACGTAACAGTAACAACAATAACAAAAATCATGATAACGATACATAATAATAACATTACCTCGAGTAGTGACCACAACGAGAAAATAATTAAATTATACCGTGGCCGCTGATCCAGCGGCCAACCAGCGCTTGCTGCTTCTAGTTCGGATAGATTAAAATGGAGAAATCTTTCGAGAAGTAGTGGCAGCGTCGAACACCGCGAAGAAAATCGGTAAGCTCCCGCTGACTGTATACGAGCGTATTTGTCTACGCGTATCTGACATCATATTTCGCCCAATTTTGGAACACGCCTTGAGCTCGCGACGATGCTGGTAATCATTACGATGCTGTGACAATCGAATTGGCGGAAGTAATCGTGGTGGAAAGACGCAAATGTGTGTCGGTGTGAGCTCCATTGAAAGCTCGTGACGCTCCATTCTCAATAGGAGCCTTCTGTAGCCGCTGGCGTTTTCGATCAACGTTGGTCAATCATCTATCTCCCCTTCTGTGTTCTCAATTCTCGGCGGTGCGAGGGCCGCTAGGACCGCCGTCTAACGGGAAACAGAGCATCTACCTGAATTTGAAATAACGACAGACGTATTTCTGATAAAAGCCAGAACTATGCATTTTACAGTAGTCGATGAAAAGGTAAAAGTTTGATGATTATTCGTATCACCTTTTGAAATGTCGCTGACTATAGAGAAACAGGGAAAAAAAACTCATGGGGGAACGGGACCTCTTTCCATGTAACAGTAAGATCTTTCCGTCAATTCGATCACTGGCTGGTTATAATCGCCACCTGCTTTTGTGTATCAGTGGAGCCCATTGCTGAAAAATCTCGCCAGTCATAACAGCCCGTTCCGCCAAAGCGCCCGTTGGATTGCGTAGGAAAGAAAAAAAAAAAAAAAAGGCATATTGTTAATAAATAAAGATTTTATCTATTTGACTGAAAAATAATTCATCCGTTAATGTTATCCGTATACAATATGGCCAACCGTTAGGCTTATTTCTATACATGTACAGAAAGATACATCACGGTAGACATGGAAGTGTATGCCTATCTATTTAACAAATAAGTTTTTCAAATCTAACAAATAAGATATTTTTATTCCTTTGAATGTGATACTTCATTCAAATGTCGACAAGATAAAAACAATCTGCGCTACATATATAAGTTGTAACTTGTTGTGTTACATTGTGTGTGGTCAACATTCTGAATTTGTTGTAGAATGTTATGTATCGCCACCGTCTCGCCGGTTATAAATAGGTAATAATTTTAGCTGGCTTCGTTGTACAGCAACGGGAAACAGGGTGGCTGGTGTTCGACAAAGTATAACCTATAGTACTATATCTTATATGTTTATGCTCGAATCCATATTAGCTAGTAGTTTACCATAGCTGGATTATTTAGTTGCGAGTTTCTTTTTTTTTTCGGTAGCAGTTTGTTTTTGAGTTAATTTGATCGCATATAGCTTACGGGCGTCTTTGTCGTCTTGTTTAAAAATGCGATGGGATCTCCTGAATATAAATGCATAGATGGATATGAGTCTTGTCAAACCCTGGCGTTATTCAGTGATCGCGTTCCAATGAATAGCAGCCGATAGATGAGACCATTCTGACTCTTACATCTGTTTGTGTATGTATGCGCTTGTTGAAATCCGTTGTTTCCAATGGCATGAGCGCATCGAGTTTCCCGCGACCTGGCCTAACGCCATGTTACGCTACGAAGTCGCCGACTGGCGGCGGCGTCGCCCGCGTTCCCTTTTTGTGACGGCGACGCTATTACGTTCGATCGGAAAAGTCGCTGCAGATTTAGAGCGACGCGCATCGAGGTCGTTGGCCGAACCCTCTATGCGCGCGGAGAAGTGTGAGTCAAAATGGTGCAGTAGGGAAGTGTAATGGGGCAGGTCAGTGATCGAACTGTGCGCGAAGATGGATTACGCCGGCCGCGTTGAAACTTCTCAACTTCGTTAGATAGCTTCATATGGAATGCATTCAATTTTCGTATGCATCGTAAGATTAGCAGATGCCAACAGCTGTAAGGACAGCAGCAGACGACAAGGCCTACTCGTACGCCTGGCGTCCTTTTTTGCGGCGGTGTGAACTTGCTACTGGCACAAATTAGGTTTATTGATTTTTTCACCGATGAAAAAATGTTTGTTGCCGGGTAAGAATAACAAGTGTCACATAGTTACAGATGTTAGTATTAGAACATTATCCCGTGTCTGTGTTTTTCTGTAATCAAGTCTCTCTATATGTAGATCAAATTTTATCGGATCGCATAAACCAATAAAAAACAACGAAACTTCTCCAACACAAACGTTGTTGTCATATGAGGCAGATCTGCATAAAGAAAACCCCTACAATGGATGCGTAGCGCAACGGTACAGCTGTTTTATGACATTCAACAGGTACATATAACCACTAAAGGGAACTCGGCGCCGTCCGCTTAATTCTGAGAATATACTTTCTTCCTATATCTCTAGAACCGCCTTGTTAGCACCAAGTGGCGTAAAACTGAATCGTCATACATAAACTGTGCTAGGTAGTGTTGCCTAACGTTCTGTCGTAAGTTGTTAGATCGTTACCTTTGGATGCCCTATGAAGCCAGCACTTCGACTTAAACAATATCTAATTTCTGCTTCTTTGCAACAGCAGATCAAAAAAAGGCCACAACATAGTGTTACGTCATTGTCAGCCAGTATCTAATAGGATCTCGATCTGGTTCGAGCAGACCCAGATCCTGTTATCAGACCAGACAGCTTTATATATATCTAAATGAGCGTCTCTGAGCATGTGTGCAGTAATCTACGTTTGATTAGTTCTGTTATGGGGATGAGCCAATAATTTTCGTGAATGTATTCAAGGTAATCTTATTCAATTAATTGAGTATAGCGGCTACTATTCACTCGGAAGGTGTTTTTGTTTTTTGCCACTTAAGACAGGCCATCGTCGATCATGGCCATAGACATCCGTTAAAACGGTGCCTACAAGTGAGGTTGAGTTGATGATTGGTTGAGGCGATTTCATTACGCCAATGAAAGATACAGAAAGACAAAGATAAATTCGCTGGTTTTTACTAGAAGATTTGGTTTTTGACATACGCTTAACAGGATTGTGGCCAATTGACTAGTCGATGAGCTACATTGTCTGGTAGACTGTGTGATCAGCGTTGCATATTGATAGCCGTCAGCCAACGATGCTAGGTGCGATCTTGCCAACCAATGCGCGCTACCGCAACGGCCGGTAGAAAAGAGACGTCCAGAGAGGACTGATCGGCGTTGTTGCTAGCAGTGCTATTGCACTATGTTAGAGAAATGGCTGACAAACGTCGCTACACACAACAAACAACAACAATAACAAAAACAGACGACCGACTAGTGTCCAACCACTGCCAGAGCTGCTGTTAACACCAGCAGGAGCGACAATAACGGGGTTAACGATAATTTCGGCAGTGGCAATTGTTGCTAAAAATGAGACAATGCCGGTTTCTGTTGTTCAAAAGATGGCTAACTGCAGCAGTATCGCCAAAAGCAACAACAGGTGCCATACGTTCGCAGATAACAGAATAGGGGTTATTGGCCGGACTGTGCGTGGAGAAGAGCTAAAACGTCCATTTGCTCCAAGCTAATTCTTTGTTTGTTGAAACACATCGATCGTTAATGGTACAATAATAGCACATATCAACTATTACCTAAATCACTAAAAAAGTTCGATTACTTAATTTCGTTCAAATGTCGCCGTACCGGCGTGTTCGACATGCGTTACCAGTAGAACATCGAAAAGTTGGAAGTAAACATGATAGCCAAGTGCACTTCGAAAAATTGAAGCTTCACCGACAGAAAACAGGTAGAGCTACTTCAGTCAGTGCGATTGTTTCTAAAGATCACTTAATCAACGCCAATTTACATAATTTTCCGTGCTGTTTATGTGTATAAGCATAGCGCATCCGTACTGAATTTTGGAAGTAAGTGCTGTTAGTCATCCAAAAAGTTAACAAACAATAGAATACCACAAGAAACGAGTTGTACCATTAATCGTATATAATAATGATAGCAAAAGAACAAAGGCTAGATAATGATCAGCTAACGAAGCATGATTGCGCCTTGCCTGAACAGAAACTGCGTGTAGCAAATGTATATGTGGGAAATAAATAAACGTTTATTGGTTATCTAAATATAAACTGCCCGTCAAGCATTAGGTACTGTGTGTACATAATCAACGCTGAGCTATTTTAAGGCGTTTCTACTAGATAAACAGCGAATTCAACTAATGCTAACGTACGTAGATGAGCATCTAATATTTTAGTATTGAAGGCAGCACAAAACAGATCTCTGCATAACCATTGCGCGCTAGTAATTGGGTTTTGTTGTCTTCTTTTGTGCGCTGATTCTCTGCTCATCGCACTTAATCCTTATTTTTAAAAATATAATTTCTAATATAGACATTTTCCCTATTAATTTTCTAAGTTTCTCTAATTAATTAGCATTATGTTTACTGGGACACGATAAGAATTTGCTTACTTGAGCCAGACATATTTGATTTCGTTTATTTCTCTAACCAAGTGGTAATGCTCGGTAATTCCCTAAGAACATCAAGTTACTTCCGAACGGCGTCTAAGTAAGTAAAAGGGGCGCGATTTTATTATTAACAATCTATTACGCATTATTGAGTTAGGTAAAAATTATCGCTCAGATCACTATTTATCTGGTGTTCTGATCTGGTGGTTGGTTATCTGATAAAGTGAGTCCCATATATTATTACTATGCGACCATCGAATCTACATGTTATTGCAGCTGGGTAAAGAGAGATCACATTTATAT